TGGGATAGTGTGAGATCTAGGCAGCCCCTTTCTTCTCCTCACGCCCTCTTGGACCTGATATTTGATAATCCGGAATTAGAACCGAGGATGCATTCCACTGAATTCTCTTGGTGGAAGAATAGAGGTTTTCTTTGAATTGGAGATCTTTTAAATGGTGATACACCATATACCGTAGCCCACTTTCAAGACACTCTACATATGCCCCCTTCTGAGCTTTTCAGATGCAATCAGATAACATCTTTTCTACAAACCAAGCTTAATTTAGTGTTTGGCTCTCCCATGTTGACTTAGTTTGAGCTGTCCTGAAGGTCGACAGATTGACGGGGCGAAACTCCACGGTTTATCTTATTTTGACAGATCTAAACTGTAAGCTTCCCTATATGACACTATGGGAGAGGGATTTACAGATTTCCTGGGATTTGTCAGGCTGGCAGGACACGGCAAACGATTTATGTAAGATTTCAATCAATAATTTCCTGATAGAATCCAATTACAAAATCCTTCTACGCTGGTATTTAGTGCTGACTAGGATAGCTAAGATGCATCAGACTGCCTCTCCGAACTGTTTTCGCCAACGCAGTCAGTCGAGAGCAATGATTCAGGTGTGGTGGCAATGCCCCAAAGTGTTCCGATTTTGGATACAGATGTTTAACCTCATACACTTGGTCACAGATGTTACCCTTACTTGGGCCCCCCAGAAATAGCCTTGTTGCAGAAATTAGATCTTGATTTCCCAAAATGGCCTAAAAGGCTTATATTTTATATGCTCTCGGCGGTAAAAATCGCAATAGCGTGTTGCTGGAAGACAGCAGTGGTGCACTCCACACCATTGTCCTTGCTCCCTCATGATTTTAATCCAGCACTTAAAAGCCTTCTGAAGGTTTCCACTTTCTGAAAGTCCAAGCCTGCAAAAAGGTAAGCAAGCTCTACCTCCAATGCCACAGTGATTTTGCTTAACTGTTCTTTTTACCTCAATGCCAATCTATAGCCTAAGTATTGCTAGCGCAGTCACTGAAAGCAATGGACACTCTGCTCCTGTGGGACCGCTCCTGTTATTGATTCCCACTCATTATCACAACATCCTCCTCATAAAGGATGCTGATTGCTTTATCTTTCTGAAGATACACATAAAGTGATGACCATAGATGTGTGTATATGTAATATGACTACGCAAATATGAAAACAAGCTAATAAAGTTTACCAGGGTAAGCTGCCTAATATATCAACTCACCTGTCCTTACCAGCCAGGCAACTTGTTACCTCCACTTGATCAACTGATAAAGAGATCCTTTGGACCATCTCCTTGTTCATTCGTAGAAGAAAACAGATTTGTACACAGAAGTCTGTTTTGAAAATAATTCTAGGAAAACACTCCCCTGAGGGTCTTACTCCTGCATCTGATTCACTTCACTGAAAAGAAACCCTCTAGGGTTAAACTTCAAAAAAAGCAAAATTCCTCTTTGCCTTCACTCTTCTGGCCCCAGAATGACCTGAGTGCGTGATTCTGGGAAATTCTCATGCTCCAGTTTTCATGCTGTCATTCTTCAATGATAACTGCAAGTTTGGTATCAACATTATAAAGCCACCTCCTATTTTATTGCTCTTATTTTTCTTAGAGTAAAAGTAATCAGGCATCAGTTCTAAAAGCAGATGTATATTACTCTGGCCAGACAGCCATCAGGTTTCCATTCCATTCAGATGGAATGTAAGCAAAGGAGTATAGTGAGTGCTCTACTGAATGAAATATAGGCAGCATCTAATTCTGAATCAAGAACAGGATACTTATTACTTCTTACAGCTATCAAGCAAACAAAACTTTAAAAACTAAGTGTTGCCCCTCTTTCACTGAGTGAAGTTCTCACAATACCCCTTCATCTACTTTCTGGTTAATCTAGATCCTCGCATTTGTCAAATAAGTAACCTAAGCTTTTCTCCATTATTCTTGCTTTGTGCCCAAGGTTCTATGCTCCTCGTTTGTCTTTTTCAATTTGACATAGGGGGGTTTATTTACTAAAGCTGGAGAGTGCAAAATCAGACTCACTTCTGCATAGAAACCAATCAGCTTCTATCCTCAGCTTGTTCAATGAAGCTTTGGCAATGAAACCTGGAAGCTGATTGGTTTCTATGCAGAAGGGAGTCTGATTTTGGACTCTCCAGCTTTAGTAAATAAACCCCATACTGTCTGCCTTGGGCTACAATGAGTTTCCCATCTTCCTCCAAGTGATGGAATGGATGGGAACCACCTACAGCCTATGAAAGTCACTGTCTTTAAAGTTACTGTGTCCTATACCTGTCCACATATGCCAAGAGCAAAAATCCTGGCCTTTTTTATGCTAGATTATTGGTTGGTAATAAACAGATTCAAATTCCAGGTAGTAACAGTTCCAGATAATGTTAGAGCTTGCTTGCTTGCTCCCTTTCATCCCCACACATTCCAATTGGCCATTCATTTTGATGAGCTGCATCGGGAGCCAATAGGAATGTGTGGAGAGCAGGAGGGGGTTAGCAAGCAAACTCACTACCAGAAAGTAACAGAGCTTTGCCCGTTAAGGAAATCCCACCATTCTGGTAGAAGAGGGTCAATCAGAATGCTGTAGATATCTGAAAGACACTTCAAGTAAGCCCACCACTCTAGCAGCGCAGGGACCATGAATGCTGCTGTAGATATCTGCATGTACCTCTAAGTAAGGCTGCTATTCATGCAGAAAAGGGGCAATGAAAGCTGATGTTGCTATCTTCAAGCACCTTAAAGTTCTGCCAATTTATACCTGGTAGGAGCCTCATTAATTTTTTTAAGTTACCCTGTCACCCCAGGGCCACTTTTATAAAAAAAACACCCACCTGTAATGAAAGGGGTTTCTTTACTTACCCCTCTAGCAGCACATGTAGGGTACAGCTGCCATTTCTCTTCTCCCTAGCAGCTCAATTACTGGACCATCAGCTGAGCTGAATTCTTGCTCTCCACCCACCATCTGCCACAGTGGTTCTTCTGGCTGGCTGAGATAATGGCTTTTTCTTACATGGGTTGTTGGATAGATGCAGCATGGTGGTGAGTCCCGATTTGCTAAAGACAAAGTATTGCAAAAGTAATTCAATCGTACAATCAGACCCGGTGGAGGGGCTCACCTAACCGCAAACACTCACAGTAGTGCAGCGTATAGACAGTGGTTTGTAGACTGTTGCCAATGAGATGTGGAGTGCAGCCTGGCAAGTCCAACCCAAAGGGGAAACTTCCTGAGAAGGTAGACGTAGTCCCTATGTTCTCCATACTTTTCTTGAACCTTTCCATATCGCTAGCACTGTAACAGCCAGACGGGGAACATGTCCCTACTCTAGCCATCAGCATAAATCATTTAAAAACCCAGAGTCTTAAATAGACTTTGCTTGACCCAAGATGGCTACTAGGGTACTTGGGACCAGAGAATCCGGATCACTGTCGCATGTGAACAAAGCAGTCATAGAGAAACCCTGTTTCCCTCCACTTCTTCTCCCCTCTGCATTGCCCCTGTGGTCCAACACCACCTGCAGTGGAGAATACAGACTGAACCTACCTACAAGGTAAATGGAAAGGTAAGTAAATAAATGCTTCTTTTACAGATGGGCTTTTCTGTTAAAGTGGCCCTGTGGTCATGCCTGTTTTTATTACTTTTCAATCCGTTAATAAAAAAAGCTGTTACAAAATATCCCCTAAAACAAGAATGAAAACCACTGGTGGACTGGTTTAGCCAAATTCATACTTCTCCAGCTGAGTATGAACTACAAAGGATGAAAGTTTGGGCAGATTGATTTGCTCATCTCCAAAGATAACCCCCAATAAAAACCATTCCTACCATGGATGTTCTAAAACCCTAAAGCCACTTATTTTCTCAGACACTGTCCTTTTCTCCAGTTCCTCACAGAAACCAGCTGCTGGGGCTTTTGATAGACTGGAAAAGAGGATTCCGCACATGATTATACATTGAAAGTGATTCATGAGATTTAGCTTACTTTCTTTAATGACATAATAAAACCGCAACCCCACGTACAGTAACATCGCCGTCTCAGATTTCTCACTAATCAAATCCAGTGTGTTTGTGGCAAGAGAGAGATTTTTTAATATGCTTGTTTCAGTGGCGTTAACCTGTTATCTTGGACTCATCCGTTAAAATGGAACAGCTGCAATAAATAGATAAACAAGAGCGACAGCGGTACTGTGGTGTGTCCAATTACCCACAAGCCCTTGTGAAACAGAACGAACACATGAGGCACGAACATGTCTGGATGACTGCGATGGCTGTGATATAATAATTTAGCAAATTACAAGGTTGGGTTAAACACCGCATTTTTCTCATTGTAAAATTCCTTGATTATGGCTTACCGAGGACAACGTGTTCATGGCAGCAACGTTTCGTCATTTTAAGATGTTTGTTTTGCTTCTTATTGCCAATCTTTACATTTACTCCCTGTCCACTTTGACTCTATACAATCCCTCGGTGCATAAAGCAGAACGCATGCCAGGCAGAGTTGAAAAATACTCATGACCTGTTTTTATCACTCATCTTAACAAGCTAGAAAAGAGGACCTGTCTAACCTGTGTCTTTTAATGAAAACAGGGGCCTCAGTTACACAGATTTGCAAATGTACTGTATATACAGTATCTCACAGAAGTGAGTACACCCCTCACATTTTTGTAAATATTTTATTATATCTTTTTATGTGACAACACTGAAGAAATTACACTTTGCTACAATGTAAAATAGTGAGTGTACAGCTTGTATAACAGTGTAATTTGCTGTCCCCTCAAAATAACTCAACACAGCCATTAATGTCTAAACTGCTGGCAACAAAAGTGAGTACACCCCTAAGTAAAAATGTCCAAATTGGGCCCAATTAGCCATTTTCCCTCCCCAGTGTCATGTGACTCATTAGTGTTACAAGGTCTCAGGTGTGAATGGGGAGCAGGTGTGTTAAATTTGGTGTTATCGCTCTCACTCTTTCATACTGGTCACTGGAGGTTCAACATGGCACCTCATGGCAAAGAACTCTCTGAGGATCTGAAAAAAAGAATTGTTTCTCTACATAAAGATGGCCTAGGCTATAAGAAGTTTTCCAAGACCCTGAAACTGAGCTGCAGCATGGTGGCCAAGACCATACAGAGGTTTAACAGGCCAGGTTCCACTCAGAACAGGCCTCACCATGGTCAACCAAAGGAGTTAAGTGCACATGCTCAGCGTCATATCCAGAGAATGTCTTTGGGAAATAGACGTATGAGTGCTGCCAGCATTGCTGCAGAGAGTTGAAGGGGTGGAGGGTCAGCCTGTCAGTGCTCAGACCATACGCCGCACACTGCATCAAATTGGTCTGCATGGCTGTCATCCCTGAAGGAAGCCTCTTCTAAAGATGATGCAAAAGAAAGCCCGCAAACAGTTTGCTGAAGACAAGCAGACTAAGAACATGGATTACTGGAACCATGTCCTGTGGTCTGATGACACCAAGATAAAATTATTTGGTTCAGATGGTGTCAAGCGTGTGTGGGGGCAACCAGGTAAGGAGTTCAAAGACAGTCAAGCATGCTGGTGGGAGTGTCATGGTCTGGGGCTGCATGAGTGCTGCTGGCACTGGGGAGCTACAGTTCATTGGGGGGACCATGAATGCCAACTTGACATACTGAAGCAGAGCATGATCCCCTCCCTTCGGAGACTGGGCCACAGGGCAGTATTCCAACATGATAATGACCCCAACACACACCTCCAAGATGACCACTCCCTTCCGCAGTACAGATCAACCCCCACCACCACCACCACCAGTACAGCAATCCCCCCTCCATAAACTCCACATACTTATCCAGGCATTTCAGGGTGCTCCTTTGACAGTATCATGTGACTGGAGCTGAACAGAAAATAAGGAGAGCCTTCCTCTCTCTGAACATCCGTTGCCTGTCTTTGAATTCTGACACATAGCAAGAGCACCGTGTTTCAGGTGCACAGCAACTATTAAATCTAGCTACAATGGTGTGGATGCTCTGGCGGGAGGGGTTGTACCCTTCTATGCCTCTACCTTATCTACTCTCCTGGTTGTGGTGGCCATCAAACTATGACTGTGCAGCTTAATAAGAACAAGAAAAAAATTGTCGGTTTAATAATTCACAAAGACCTGGTCAGATACACCTACCCCTCGTCCTCTATGCAATACAAGTCTATGTGAAGACACTTATGATGAGCAGGTGTGGCTGTTACTCAGCTCTGCCAGAACAGGGATCTGCACTGTAAAGACAGAAAGCAGCATTTTCAATTCACAAAAGAGGTAATTTGCAACACAACTTAGCAAATACAAAAATATGAGGTATAAGATTATAAAGAGATGTGAGAGTGTGAAATAAGTGGTGTGAATCATTTCTTATAAATTTATAGGGTCAGTTCATCTAAAAGTGACATTTTACTTTTCAGCAGATCCTGGTGGGCTGATGTTTCCTGGCTTCCTAAACGTCTTGGATGCTCCAACTGAAAGATCTCCCTTCCATAATTCCCAACCATAATAATAATATCACGAAGAAGAAGAAGAAGAATGTTCCTTCCGTTTAGTAGTTTTGGATGTTGCCACCCACCTTTGTGTGTTTCATCTTCACCTGTTACAGTCTAGTAGGGATATCACAGGGAGAGTGGGAACCCCTTTACTGCAGACCAGTACAAAGTCCCCACCAACATAATTCCTTCTCTATATATAAGAAACTGGTGACTTAACTCTCCAGCATCTACCACAACCACAAGCATTCCTTTTGGGTGGACTGATCCTTTAAACTGCAGTGAATGTATTAGTCCTTTAAGATGTAATTGTTACAGAAGACACAAATGGATGCCATTTTAATTGTTGCCTAAATGCTGTAAATAATTCTTCAAGGGATAAAATTATTTCCTATGTCCCATGTGACTGCAAAAAAACATTTCTCATTCCTCTTGTAAAGAAGACTACATTTCAGCATGCTAAAAATAAATCTATTTTAATTAACACTTCAATTACAGAATATACTGTGCCCTGACCGTTAAACGATGTTAATTAAAGTTTAAATACTATCGTGACTTGCATTTTCTGAACAGTGGCAATAGCAAATAAGACCATCATTACTGATGGCCCATGGGAGCACATTGAGCCACAGTGTAACTACTTAAAAGATGCCTAGATCCAAGTTGATGATTCAGAAAAAGCATTAGAAGGGGAGATATCAGCATATCATGAGCGTCCACAATTGTATTTTGCAACTTGACCAATGGACAGAAGCGAAACATGAGGGTCTCTACCAGGGGCGGACTGACAACTCATGGGGCCCCCGGGCAATAGGGGATCAGTTCCTTAAGTTACTAATTTTGTTTCATTGCATTTATAACAAAATTAATTTAATTTCCTTTCATTTATTGGTTTTCGATCAGTCTAAAGTTTTGCAATGGAGTTGAAGTGTTCGAATTTAATTCAAATCAAATTTGAATCAAAAATATCAAATCGATCCAAATTCATTGTGAAGAATTGTTGGTTCTATTGGACATTTGGAAGACGATTATTTTCTTTCTATTTCATTCTATTCTGTTCTCTCTCAATCTATTCTATTCTAATCTATTCTATGTTTTTCTATGTTCTTTTCTATTCTACTCTATTCTTTTATATTCTATGCTATTCTTTTCTAATCTTTTCCTATTCTATTTCTTTATATTCTATTCCATTATATTATTTTATATTCTATTCTGTTTTATTCTATTCTATTCTTTTCGAAATTCGAATTTCAGAAGATGGCTGTATCTCTTCTATTCTATTGTTTCTATTATTTTCTATTTGATTATTTTCTATTTTATTCCTTTATTTTCTATTCTATTTTATAATATTCTTTTATTTTCTATTCTATTCTGTTCTGTTTTCCTTACTATTCTCATTTTAGCCTTTTATTTTCTATTCTTTTTTTTCTAATCTATTCCTTTATATTCTATTCTTTTCTATTCTATTCTAATTTATTCTACTCTTTTCAAAATTTGAATTTTGGAATACGGCTATATTCATATAGTCTTTGAAGGATATCAGCAGTAGTCAGTAATATGTTTATATTTCGAATTTGTTTTTGAAATTCGATTTAGTTTTCAAATTCAATTCAAATTTGATTCAAATTGTGGATGAAATTTAATTTAGTTATTTCTGATTTCCTATTCTATTTCTTTATATTCTATTCCATTATTTTATTTTCTATTCTATTCTGTTCTGTTTTACTCTATTCCTTACTATTCTCATTTTAGCCTTTTATTTTCTATTCTTTTTTTTCTAATCTGTTCCTTTATATTCTATTCTTTTCTATTCTATTCTAATTTATTCTACTCTTTTCAAAATTTGAATTTTGGAAGATGGCTATATTCATATAGTCTTTGAAGGATATCAGCAGTAGTCAGTAATATGTTTATATTTCAAATTTGTTTTTGAAATTTGATTTAGTTTTCAAATTGAATTCAAATTTGATTCAAATTGCGGATAAAATTTAATTTAGTTATTTCTGATTTCCTATTCTATTTCTTTATATTCTATTCCATTATTTTATTTTCTATTTTATTCTGTTTTATTCCATTGTATTCTTTTCGAAAATTCAAATTTCAGAAGATGGGTGTATCTCTTCTATTCTATGGTTTCTATTATTTTTTATTCTATTATTTTCTATTTTATTCCTTATTTTCTATTCTATTTTATAATATTCTTTTATTTTCTATTCTATTCTGTTCTGTTTTACTCTATTCCTTACTATTCTCATTTTAGCCTTTTATTTTCTATTCTTTTTTTTTCTAATCTGTTCCTTTATATTCTATTCTTTTCTATTCTGTTCTAATTTATTCTACTCTTTTCAAAATTCGAATTTCAGAAGACGGCTATATTCATAAAGTCTTTGAAGGATATCAGCAGTAGTTAGTAATTTGTTTATTTTTCTAATTTGTTTTTGAAATTTGATTTCGTTTTCAAATTGAATTCAAATTCGATTCAAATTGTGGACGAAATTTCATTTAGTTATTTCTGATTTGTTTAAATTTGTTGCTAATTGTCATTCAGAAATTTGGGTTCATCTGAATCTCCGAATAACAAAAAATCTGTTTTATTCTATTGTATTCTTTTCGAAATTCAAATTTCAGAAGATGGCTGTATCTCTTCTATTCTATGGTTTCTATTATTTTCTATTCTATTATATTTTCTATATTATTCCTTTATTTTCTATTCTATTTTATAATATTCTTTTATTTTCTATTCTATTCTGTTCTGTTTTACTCTATTCCTTACTATTCTCATTTTAGCCTTTTATTTTCTATTCTTTTTTTTTTTTTATCTATTCCTTTATATTCTATTCTTTTCTATTCTAATTTATTCTACTCTTTTCAAAATTCGAATTTTGAAAGACGGCTATATTCATATAGGTGTCCGTTCATGAACCAGCGGTAATAGATCGCTGCTCAGTTCTCCGGCATTCTCGGAGAACACAGTTCTCCTGTGAATGCAGTTTATGAAGCAGTTCTCCGAACGAAGAAGAACGGTCTCCAAACGCTCATTTTACTATAATCTCACGAGATTACAGTAAAAGATCAGTTTACTAAGCAGAGGTAAATTATCTCTGCTTAGTTTTCGGTCCCTCCGATTCTCCAGCTCTGGGCTGGAGAATCTGGAGGGAGAACACAGATCTCCAGAGAAGGGCTGACAAGATCTCCTGAGTGTTATAAACTGTGAATGACCAGAGAATAGCTGAGATCTGTTGAATCGCAGCTATTCTCTGTGTCATAAACGGACACCATAGTCTTTGAAGGATATCAGCAGTAGTCAGTAATATGTTTATATTTCGAATTTGTTTTTGAAATTCGATTTAGTTTTCAAATTCAATTCAAATTGCGGATGAAATTTCATTTAGTTATTTCAGATTTGTTTAAGTTTGTTACTATTGTTTGGGTTCATCTGAATCTCCAAATAACAAAAATTTTGTCTAAATTTCGATTCAGAACCAAACGAATTGCACATGTGTAATTGTTACCCTATACCTGTCCCACCACCACATACTAAGACATACAACAAGCAAAAAAAATGAAATCTTCCCCTTGGAACATTATTCCGCTGCTAAAAAAAATGCAAAAGGTATGTAGGATAGAGTGGTCAGACTTCAGCCACCAATTTGACATATTTTTAAGATTGTTCTTGGATAATTCAGCATTCATTAACAGGTACATTTGAACTGATGTTGAGCACCTTCTGACCTGCATCTGACCTGCTTCAAGTAGGATTTTGCTATTGACTTGTAACGGGATTCCAAATCCAGACTTGTATGGTAATGCAAAATCAGTCTGGCATGAACAAAAGCCCATCCACACAGGCCCATACCCCATTTGTATATTGTGGTATTTGCTGTGGAAATTACAAAGGCAGGCAGCGGAAAGGTTAAAAAATAATAAAACACTGTTTTCATTGAAAATAAAGGGAAATAGTCTCATAGCTACAATAAAAGGTTGTCGGCTGCCAAGTTATTTTTCTTTATGATTTGTTTCTCTAGCTGTGCTTGTTTTATGTCTACAAGGAGATATTTTATGAGCAAAATAATGATGTTTTATAAAGCGCGCAACATCGAACTGTTATTAGGGCCAAGCCCTCCTCACAGACTGTCTCCTTTTGTTGTGCAGAAGTCAAAGTGGCACGTCCCACCTGGGCCAGCTTGCCAAGTTTTTGGATATCCTGTGGAGGCTTTCTCATTCTGTCTGCTTGTCTGCACATGTGTAATCGGTGAGCCCACTGTTGGCTTATTGTGTTTTCATCTAGCCGCCAAATTTTTTCGTTTAACATGCTCAGCCTATTGTTACATTGTGCCATCTCAATAGTTAGATGTTTTCCTCTTTTCAGCAGCTCCTCACCAGCCTACCTAAAAATAACGTAGACCTATGGTTTTCCCATTGTCAGGCAATGAGAGTTAAAGTTAATCTGGTGTAAACAGTTACATGGGAAGTAATCAAGGAGAGAGTGCAATGAGCTCCTGAAATTGGTTTAGCAATTACTTTAAAAAGAGGAGGGAGCACATCTCATCTCTGCAAACAAGGGTCATAGAACTCCCAGCTCTAGGGCAGCTGACTGATGAAATGATTTCATGTGTAATGCTTCTTCAAATGTTTGATGTCCCTTTAACTTTCAAACGCTGATGCACTCGTAAGCATGGGGCATAGAGAAAAGCAAGACTTTTTTTGAGAAAATTTGGGCACAGATCATGCCACAGGAAGAACAGCAGTATAAAACAAAAATGTCATTGTAGTGTCTAAAGGCAAAACCATTTAGATCTCTATATATGAGATTTCAACTCTTTTATTTCAGTTTTTTAAGCTGATAATATCCAAATTAGCTGATTTTAGCTGATAGCCAGAATTATTCAGTGCCTGTTCCCACCCAGCTCTAAGATCACTGAGAGAAACTGTACACACCAAAAAAGTAAAGGGGTACTATAAAGTAAGGGGGTGCACCACCACTGACCATTAACTTAACAGGGGCTCCTTATCATTGAACACCAATGAATGAAGCACTTCCATACTGACCTCCAATGTAAGGGGGTACTACGCTGACCAATAATATAGGGAAGCACTTTTCCACTAACCACCAATAAAAGGAAAACCACACTGTCCATGAATATAAGGGGGGCACAAATGCAGGGGTCACTTCTATTCTTCTGACAGCCAATGTAAGGGAGCACTACTGTACTCACCACCAATGTAAGAGGGACTTCACTATTGACTAACAGTCTAAGGGGGTACATCTCAGCTCACCAGTAGAAACAAGATTCTGGTTCAGGTTCAACATGAGTGTGAAAAGAAATCACAAATCCACAGACCAGCTAAACAAATTGGCCAGTTTTCACAACCAATTCCCATGCTGCTGTAATGAAAATAAAAAGTTGTGCATACTGGATGATGTCATTGACAATATTTGGGTTGGGTCATTGTGATTGACAAGGAATTACATTGCTGGATGCTGTGATTGATCATAGATTTAGCATTGTTGAAAAGCATGTGGTGTGGTCTGGTACAAGAAGGGGAGGCCATGTGCTCACCTGCCCACCCAGGCTGCATGCCTGGATAAGGTTCTCCTTGAAATTTCAGGGAGAACCCTATGCCTTTGACAATAGACAAACAATGTGTGGTTCCCCTTAAAATTCCAACCATACCAATATTTAGGCATTCAAGCTGAGTTTCAACTTTGGGGGTTACCATGAAAGAAGGGACGGAAAGGTTCTCTTGCAAGGGACTTTGTCCCAATGTTGAGGATCAAGGGCCTCTTCCCCACTTCCAGTACCTCAAAAAGGATGAGGGGGTAATATAGTATGGAGTGACTTGTAGCAAAAATATAAGTTATCCCCCAGATATCTGCCCCTTCCCCAGGGAATGAGCACACCAGTACACTGGTACCCAGGGATGGACTGACAACTCATGGGGCCCCCGGGCAATAGGAAATCATGGGGCCCCTGTGTCCTCACCCACACTCAAACCACACCGAAAAAAGCCTTTGAAAGGTACCAAGGACATCTCATGGGGCCCCCTATGGACCCTGGGCCCTCGGGTAGTGCCCGAGTGGCTAAATGGTCAGTCCGCCCCTGCTGGTACCCCTTACTTAGAGTTAAAAGTAAATAAACACACAACTTGAAAAAATCCTTTAATAACAAAAGAAAAAAAAACACTATTAAAACATTTTACTAATGTCCCTCAGATCCAGGGTGATGCCATTGAATAAATATTACCATCTTATGTCAATGATGTTACCCGGGATCCATGGTGCTGGAGATATGTCATGTAGTGACTGGTTGACTGGTGTGTAATGGGAGCTCATGACTGAAAAGGAGTTACATCACTGGACACCATGATTGATGGTGGATTTATATTGCTGGATAATGTGGTTGATGATGGATTTACATGGGGGGGGGATTTTTATTGTATTGTTTTATTAAAGGAAGTTTTTTTATGTAATTTAGCTACAGGGTCTGGTTGGAATGTTAGGGAGAACCTCCACACTTTTTTTTTTATTTTTTTGCCTTTGTTCTTAATGTATACAGTCACATTTAATCATACTGCTCAGCAACATTACATGCACCTTTAAGGTATGCCCAAATATGTATTTTAATAATATATTTTTTTTTGCATTAGAACATGTCACCCATGTCAGTGCCCAGTTACTCATGCCATGTTTTCAACAAAAGCTTACCTATGGACTTAATGAAAAGACCACAAATAGCTAGTTTTACCTACTATAAACTTCAGTTGGGTACTTAGTTTGGGGTTCATGAACTTCTTGCTGGGTTTGCCAAACAGGTTTACCCATCTCTTTTGGCCACGAATGTAAGAGGTCACTTCTCTACTAACCTTAAATTTAAGGGGTCACTTCCCCACTGACCACCTTTTTAAGGGGTCATTTATTTACTTACTACCAGTATAAGTGGATCCTACTCCACTGACCACCAATGTAAGGCCCTACTCCACTGACCACCAATTTAAGAGATTACTTCTCCACTAACCAACAATGTAAGGAAGCACCTTTCCACTGACCTCCAATCTAAGGGATCACATCTTCAATGACCATAATTAAAAGGGGACACGTCACGGACCAGCATTGTGAATTTGACACTACAATTTTTACTGTCTGTATTTATTTTATTATCATTATAGTTATTTGTCTCTGCTCTGGATATTAAGTACTCTATGTGCACCACTGCAAATGTTTAGATTAATGGTCATTCAGTTTTCTGCCCAATGCTTTGTGAGCTATTTGTCTACCTTTTCAATCAACAGCCAAAAATGCCTGAGAAGAAAGTAACATGCTAAATTTACTAACACGCAAAATGAAATGCTTACATTTTCAATAACCCTTCATCTGTAAATTGAACCACTTGGCACATGATTTTCTACTTGCCTGTTTCTGTATTTTACAATTCACCTAATTTAAAGGCTATAAAATGCAAACAAGAATGTGTTGTTGCATACACTTCATCAATGCATGGAAATAGGCCTTGTGCCACAGCATGATTTCATCCATATCATACACAGACAGCTTCTTTTTTTTTGTTGGGGAAGTCCACCAAATACTGATATTTTAGGGTCCATTCAGACCTTGGCGTTCTGTTGCATTGTGTTGAGTTAACTGGCAATGCAGTACACCACAATGCATGATAGCATGTTGCTTTGTGTTGTGCTGTGCTGCAATGTATGTGCTTTGGAGCTGTATTGCCTTAGTGCATTAGGGTGCCATTAAAATTAAATGGCACCACACTGTATTGGCGCAAATAAGGTGTGCTAACATAATTTGCGGTAATGCACCTGTTACTTTGATGTCCTATTCTAGAAAAATGTAATCGCTTCATTCGCACCTTTCTAGTGTTGTGTGTTGTGGTAATGCATGCATTAGCACATGCGTTACCAGAATGTAATTAGAATGTTGTAATGCTATTCATTTTGAATGACCCTAATGTGCTAAGGCAACTCAGCTCCAACACACATGCACTGCAGTGCGCGACAATGCATAATGCACTACTGTGCAATGTGGTGCGTTGCATCACAAAAATTGTTACTAGATATCTGCCATGATGTTATCTCTGTGTGTCACCATAGAGGAGAGTAGACATGTGCATTTTGATACGATTCCTTTGTCGGACAAAAATTTCCTTTTCAGAGATTTGAATGTTCACGAATCTCCGAATGGGCATAGCAAGGAATGTCAATGAATCCAAAAAAAGTTATTAACGAATGCATTTGTTTCATTCGGATGATATCACATGATGTAATAGTTGTTCAGGCCTATGGGGAAATGAATTTAATTTTTGAATTGGTTCAATAATTTGGATTCGAATAATGAATGGATCCAAATTTCATTCCATTCATTAATTTGGAAGCACATGACGTCAGTCAATATTGTTTATACAGCTCATTTCTCTCTCTTTTTTTTTAATTCCAAACAACTTTTATTGTCAAGATAATAGAGAAAATGGAACAGTACTTACAGAATTCACAATGACATTACTGCAACAGCAGGATTACACATAAATAGAACAACGTGGATACGCAGATCCAGTAATAAATAGAATAACAGAAATGGTAATCAAACAAAACAGAGACCACAAGGATTCAAAACTTTCTGGACAATATCTTGCTTTTTCATTTTTTTACGTCTTATTGCTTCCCGACCAGATGTTCAGCTCATTTCTTTTGATGGGTTGGAGTAGTGTCTGAAAATATTGAATCCTTCCTATTCAAATCCACCTGATAATATATAGAATATATAGCAATCTTCCAGAAAAAAAAATGCAAATTTTCCAAATCCACCCTACAGACAAATATATGAAATGAATGCTGAAGATACAAAACTAATTCCAAAAATGAATGGGTTCTACATAATAAATATGACAAAACAAAATTCTTCAATAAACGAATACATCCGAAACTAGAACTCGCTGTCAAATGGGGTAGAAAGTTAAGAGAAAGTTAAGAGAAAATGAATGAATTTTTAAGTTTTGGGTGGAGTAGAAAGTGTTAAAAACCTGCAAGATCTTTACTACTGTCCAGTGGTAAGATACCCCCTCTCATCTTTGCTTCACTATGAGAGGTTGAACATTCCAGTTACCTCTGGTGAATTCTAACACAACAGTAGTTCACCTAAAATAATGACCTTGACCTGCCATGGCAAATGTCGAAGGTTTGAGTTAGACAATTGTGAAGACCCCACAGTAGATCTAACCCTGCCCCTCATTTTCTACAACAAAGAAATCCCCAATTTTATATTGTTCTACTCTATTTGTCTTTACTTAGTGACACGTCAAAAACTAGCTTGTTCTTCCTATCGAATGATCTTCAACCTTCCAGCGACAGTAGCGGCGTGAGAGATATCACTGCAGCTGATTTTAATGGTCTGATGAAAAGTGTGTCAAGTGGAGCACACTGCGTTTTGAGTACTTCTGTAAGGAACGGCACTTCAAACCGGGGCTCGGTTTTATGAACTGCGCGAAGATTGCTTTAATTTCAGCTCACGAGGAATGATAAGCTTGAACAACTAGCACAAGTCGCAACACATGTTCCCTTTTATTCTGGCACGGATTCAAACTTAATTTTCCTCCACACGCTAAGCTTCCCCAACAACAAAACACATGCCCTAATCTGTAGCCTATTCTTCAATAAATGAGATTTATTATATGCTTCCGTGCCTTGGAGCTTTGTTTACCCAGTGTGGCATAAGACCACCAAGCATTTTCTTGTCTTTGGAAGAAGACAATCACTGACTCATCCTTTAAGTAGTGTTACATTTGAAGAGATCTTTTCATTTTTCACTGCTGTCTTTCCATAGCTCAGCATACTGATTCATGGTAAAGGGGTTTATTGGTTGAAAGAGACCCTGTCACTTTGGCAAAAGTGCAAGGGTTATTTTAAAGTCCATCCCTGACCTGCTTTAGAGCGCTAACCCACTGTTTCTTCCACTTCCACCGACGGGGGTCAGATGGTGTCAAATCTTACAGAAGCAATTACATCAACCTCTCTGTCAATAGGCTGCTAGACCCAAGAACCGTATCAAGGGAAGAGGTCACATCTTCCCCCTTACCTGAAAGCACTGGTATTTTTTGGCATTTGCTGTGGACAAAGGAGTGCTGTGAAGGTGAATACATCTGGAATGGTGGTGAGCGTTAAAGTGACCCATTCACTTTGTCCATTAAAGAGGTAAAAATAATTTATTTACTATTAAAATAAACCTTATTATTCAGTTCATTTTAACATTTCCTTAGATAGGAAAACAAGTCTCCTCTGTATATTACAGAAGGGCGACAAGGCTCTCAGCATTCCTGCACAAACGCTTCCAATTTCTAGTGCATAACTTTCATAGAATGCTACATTTAGTTCTTCTAGAGCTTTGATACAAGAGGTCCAATTTATTGCAAATGTACCATTTTAAGCTTTTCCAACAGATTACAATGGAAAAATTTTAATTTTAGGCAAATGTAAAGATCTTCTGAGTGAGCCTAAAGCTCATATCATGGCATGTAAGACAGTAGGTACCCTACAGCACAAAGCACAAAAAGCACAAAGCATTATAATGTTCCCTTTTTTTTTAACTTAAATAATAAGCCCAACCCAAATTTAGTTTTCAAGCCTAACTCAGGACCATATTTATTAAAAATAGGAATGTGTCAGGTATTTATTTCTGTCTTTGACTCCACTCAGGAGACTTTTCCTAGCTCCTTGTCCTTCTGACACCGTACAGAAAATAAAAATGGCACCAATAAAGACTCAATAGAGATGGCAACAAATACCTAACAGAGGTTTGCATTATCCAAAAAGAAATAAAGGTTGAGCTTTCAGGTTTGGATAAATGTTTGTGGGTTGAACTATCCACTTCTTGAATCTCATGGAACATCTAATGAGAGAATTTCTG